GAAGTAAAGCCGTTGGTCCCCGGTTCATGAGTTGATGGGTCGATAGATAGGGCCCAGGTGTGGGAGCTGCCTTCCTGGCACGTCGGTAGCACGGAAAACAAGATCGACGGAAAAAACAAACCAAAGGAAAAAAAAAAGTCGCCCGACGAGATTTTTGAAAAAAGTCAATTTTTCCTAGCTATTATCCAATAAATATTTTTAGTTCTTAAATTTCAGTGAAATCTCACCCTTTTATATTTTTCGATGTGGTTCACGCTTATGTTGAAGAAGTAACTCAACCGCATCCTACACATCTTCAAAGCTGGCAACAGCTCTGATTTTTCTTCTTGAATGCCTTACTTTGGCGTTGTCATGTCGCAACGAGCTTGGCAACCCTCCTAACAACGTTTCGCTTGAGCTGGTGCGAAAGTCTGGCTTGATTCCAAATCTCCACAGCTTCGGTAGCCACAACTTGAATGCTTTTTCCGATTGAAAGTTGTTGGGTTTCATGCTTGAATCGAAAGTACCTGATGACGGCCAACTCCGACGGCAAACGGTTTCTGGGCAAATGCTTCCTCGCAATACCGGTGATGAGATCCGACATGAGCTTGGTTTTTGGTTCTGCTTGCTACGGCAATCAAATGGAAACTAATAAATTGTGTGATCGCTCTCCGCTTCGAAACAAATGTTATCAAGTGATTTGCCACAAAGTAGGTGATTTGTATGTATCGATTTCAATGATAGTTTGATTTGCTGGTGGACATACTGCAAGTATTGAAATTCTGAATAACTTTTCAACGCTTAAAAATAAGTATAAAGTGTCTTGAACAAAGTTTTTGCTTATAAAATTTCCCATATTTCTGCTATTTTGATGATTGAATGCAGGCCCCGTAACGTGGGTAGATCACCTTTTCGTGGTACGTTACGGGATGTAAGATCTACCACCGATTCCTAGTCCTGACTTCTTCAAACTAGGGGAACAGGTTTTTTTCAGTAATCAAAGGAACACATCTTAGTCCTTGTTACTTTTTATGCCTTGTTGATAGTGATAAGTCCTCGGGTTGCCTGGACCGAGGATGATCTTGAAACAAGGAAAAAATGAGTTAGTTAGTCTTCACCTATGTATGTGATTCCTAATCTTCTATTCGTTGTTCCCTAGTTTGAAGTGGTTAAGACTAGGGTTCTGATGCATGGTCATTATCGGTGTCATACCTTAATTTTGTTCCTAAGGAATCCAATTTTGACTGACAAAGGGGCGCGCCTTTGGAGGGTGTTTCAACACTCCGAAGGGTATAAATAGCGGAACCTTTCAGTTAGAATCGATTCCGTGCGATGAAGGCAAGAATGACAACTGTATCAAAACCGAATACTTCATCATTTCTCAATAGTGATGGAGTAATACGACATGCACTAAACTAAGGACACGGGATATACTACAATATATCAAATTACTGGTCGCAGTGGTGTTATGTCCCGAACAGAGGAAAAAAAAAACAAATTGGACACAGAACCTGTCGTTGCAATTTTTTCTTTTATAGTTTTGACCCTTGGTAATCTGCGAAAAATATAAAAGGGTGAGATTTCACTGAAATTTAAGTACAAAAAATATTTATTAGATAATAGCTATGAAAAATTGACTTTTTTCAAAAATCTCGTCGGGGCGACCTATAAACAACATTTCCCAGAGTTGCCGCCATACAAAAGTTTGTTTGTAACACCCTTAGCTATCATTTGGAGGGTGAGCCTCCAGATTTCCAGACATAGTGCAATTTTGGGACACCCTACTGTCCATTATGCCTAAAGTCCTTATGCTTAACGTCCGTATGTCAAACGTATTTATGCCTGGATGGGGTACAGTGCAAAACAGCCTACTAGATCTGTTCATTATTAGATACTAGATCAGAAGATGTGTAGGGAGCAAAGCTGTTAAGTATCCATTGAATAGATTCATGGGTTACACTTCTGCCCGAAAAGACATTTGGTTCTTTAGATGATGTCGATTTCACACATCCTGGGGAAGTTTGTTTTCAAATAAATGTTCCAGCTCTTCTTCATCATTAGACGTGTAGTCGCCATTTGTTTTTAGAATTTCGTTCACGAGGAAATCTTTTGATTAAGCAATAATTACAAAGCAATAATCAAACTAGTCTCACTCAAACTGGAAACATTTGTGCAAAGACATTTCCAGCCTGATCGTTCAGCAGACCGGTGAGTCTTTTTGTAAGTCTTGCGAGCTGACTTAAAGGACTCCGGCCCTTCTGACAGCCATTTCAAGAATTCTACACTGTTTTCTGAGCTTATCTAGATCAGAATTCAACCAGGGTGTTCCTCTAGTAGTTTTGACAGACTTCAAGAAGCAAGCTTCTTCGAACGCTTCAATTATGTAGGAAGTTGTGATGTCAACGGCATAATCCATATGGAATTTGGATGCTAGTAGATATCTAAAGATCATGGTCAGTGAAGTAACATTCAAGTGTTCATGTTCAAAGTGCATGTATCTATAATAAGATAAATATTCTTCATTTGATACATGTCAGTTTTTCAGTTGATGACTGATACGATTTGTGCCGAGGGTCTATTACTTCTATTCTAGAAGCTACCAAGTTGGGCGATTGCTTAACATTGTGCACTGGTCAACGGGGGAAGAGTTAGCCCCCGATCATCATGTCTTTATTGCCTCAAACGTCTGCAAATAGCTCACCGTTTTCGCTCATTTGTCCTAGACCATGGTGTCTCGTCATGACACGCTCATAGTCTGTGTTATCAAAGCTGATCTTCGCATTGAAGTCACCAGTGTAGATCTTGATGTCACCCTTAGGCTTCAATTGATAAGCGCGGCATGAGCCTGAACGCTATGCAGGAAACAAACTACACGGTGCCAGAATCTCTACTGCAGATTGTTTTCGGTCAACGGACTTTTCTCCGGCCCAGGATTTCGAGCTGCAAGCGTGCCACCCTGTTGAAGAATTGTGCCATACCTTTGCTGTTAGCTTACTTTTAATCATGTTTCCAGGTACACCTACGATATGATGAATAATGGTCATTTGACATGAAAGCTTTACGACGGAAGCAACTAGGATGTATCGCATAACATATCCCCTTTCTGGCTTTTTGTTATTTACTCGAAAAAAATATCAACCTCCAGTTGATTGCGGAAAATAGCCCTAAACCTAAACAGCGTGAGTTCCTATTCCCATCCGGAGCTCGTAAACCAACGGAACATGTACCAATATGTGGGCCTTTCTCTTGTCGCCTGTTGATGGTTGTAATTTTTTCCCCATCCCGTCAGCAACCGTGAAAGTCCATCTTTGTCACCATGTAGCAAAAAAGTGCCTGTGTGACAATGGCTCACTTTTAGTCAGGATCATATATATATTTTTTTCAAAACTGCTCCGTTGAGCTTCACACTTTGACATTGCCATCAGGGTTACAGGGAGAAGGAATATCAATTTTACGACACTGTTGACAGCGGTACACATTCCCAGGGTAAATTCGCAAGCTCATAAAAAGACGGGTGGCAGCAGCTACTCGTAGCAAACAGTGTCAGTAGCGGCAGCAGAAGCTGAGCGCTAGGATGCCGAATTTTTTTTCAAAAGATGGTCTGATTTAAATACTGAGGCTAGATTTGTTTTTGGGTCTCCGAAAGGGACGATATTCGGGGCCGGCCGATAACAGCTTACTTTTCCTGCTACAGCTCTGCGAGAATAGAACACGCCCAAAGGATTGCGGACGACAAAAGCCCCGCTAATCGACGTCCATTAGGAAGTGGAACGTTTTTCTGTCAGCTCATGATATCGTCCATCGCTACTATTCAGCAACCATGATGCCGCAGCTTACAAAATTAAAAGCAGGAAACGAGAGTCATGATGGGAGATATTTTTTTTATTCGATAATGCAGCCGGGTGGGAGATGTGGGATGACTTAGCTGACCACTTTCCGCTTATTCTTCTGCGGGTCAAAAATTTAAAATGTGCTATTTGGAGGTACTCATAGTTTCACTTTCTTACATGAGAACGCTTGTAGCATTTAGGAACTAGTGGTGAATCAACTGAAGATTATTTAGCTAAAGTTATCCATGTCCTCCAAGTTCAACGGCTCATGACTTTCCAATTAATTTGGCTCTAAAATTTGCGGTTGTCAAACCGTTTTTATTACTCCATGTCATTGCTCCCCGCCAAGGATGCGCACTGAAAATTGCCTGCTTCCATCAAATTAATAACAATTACCGTGGTTTCCCCTTAAACCCTAACCCTTCGACCGACAGTGATAGGCTCTCGAAATAAATGAAGCCATTTCTGTGTGTCAGTGGAAAGTTGATGTTTCTCGTCGCTTAAGGAGCGGAGTCGAAAAAGAAATCGAAACTTTTCCGGCTGCCACCGCCGTCGTCATAAGCCCTCCGATAATTCATTGACTTCTCGCGGGACGACTGTAGGAGTTGTGGTGTTCCATTCAGCTCGTAAGTTTTTTTTTTTTTCGAAAAAGACAAGTTTCTCAATTTGAGAAGGACTTGAATTACGAGCTCCAAATAACACCAGCCACGTGGCATTTTGCGTTTTGCATTTTATGACCTTTCTTTTTGGCGACGTAGCAGCACACACACATACACACGCGCGTTAGGAGCACACAAACAAGAACGCTCCGGACCGTCGGAATTTTTATTTGCATTTTTGCTTGTCGTTGTTATTGCTGTTGCTGCTGCCGGAAGGACACCGGCAAGGGTGCCACTTAAGAATGGGAGGAAAAATATGCAAATTAGCGAAATAAATCGCCAAACGACTGCAAACTGTTGCTGCTCGGGGGCTCTGGGTTGTGAGCCGAGTCGAGTCCGGACACATTGGAGAGTTCCTTTCCTTTTAACAATGGCCACTAATAGAGTCATAAAACGATGATATTTATAAACACTTTCGTCCTTTGCTTGCCGGGGATTGGTCGAGGGCTTATTGGATTGAGCTACTCGTTAGAATTATATATTATGAAGAATTCGGATTCAATTAATTTTTTTCATTCTATTTTCGTTCCAGGGATGATCGCCTGTCGTTGGCCGAGTTCACGTTGATCTGTCGAGCGTTGTTCCGGAATGACAAGGGTCACATCTATGTGGTTCCCTCGGATCGACTGGAGGAGATGTTTGCCGTGTTCGATAAGAACGAGGACGGCTACATCGATCGAGAGGAGTTTCAATTCTGCTGGAACCAGTGGATCAAAACGGTAAGATTTCGTGTGTTATTGAGCATTTTCAGGCTATTTTTTTTCAATTCCAAACTTGACCTTTTCCGGTTTGCATAATTCAATCTGAACATTGCATTAGGTCCTAAGTAACATGGACGGATTCTCTTCGTCGCCTTTCTCTTTGTATCCCCACGGCCATCTTAAGACATTCCCATGTATTTTCAGCGCACAGATCGATAAAAGAAGGCTTTATCTAGTATTTAATGCGACAAACACGACAAGAAACAGTTATGTGCTCAAGTTATCAACGAAAAGACTCGATTAATGTTACTTAGGACCTAATGCAATATTAAGCTTCAATTGTTTGTACACACGTTAAAAGGGTTTAAACAAAAACCAAAAAACTTCAAGGGACAGACGTAAGACTACGTGGTCTTATATAATAAATCTTATTTGTTAACTGCAGCAGGAGCTTGTGTTTTGTGTAGGAATAGGAATTTGAGCAGGGTTCTCTTTTTTTATACTCTTTAGTATGACACGCTTGACATGAATGGCTCACAGTGACTCACAGGAGAACACCACCACTCACCACGCGGTGATTGAATAAACACCGTTTGGTGAGCCCGGATGGAATTCAACTTTGAAATCTGTGTTAGGGAAATCGCTTTTCGCAGGCAATCGGTGATAATTTTAATTTTCATAGCAACAGTTGCACATTCGTGCAATTTTCAGCAGTGATATTTTGAAAAATGATCAGTTTAACAGATGCGTAGAAATATTTCTGATCGATTGGTGATAAAATTATTGAAATTAGTCCAGGGGCCACTGAGTAATAAACGTTCAAAATCTTTCATAATTTTGTTACATGTTTCATTTTATGTTTTCACAAATTGTACCATCATATAGAAATCACCGACGTAGTCCTACGTCAAAAAAAAATCGTTTTGAATCTCGCAAAAAATATTCAAAATGGCGTTTTCGATATTTTTCAACAGTTCATAACTCGAAAATTGCAAACAACATTACGTCTGACACAAAGTTGTACACGGCCAATGAGAACAACCCAATTTTGAGTTTAGTTTACTCATAAATCGCTAAAAGTGGGGGAATTGGTTGATTGTCCAGTGAAACAGAAACCTATCAAGCGACATATCATTGGTCTCAGAAGTTTATGGACATTTTTGAAGAATCCAAATCTTCATTTCTGAATTGCATTGGCCATGTGATGTCTTCGGAACAAGTTCCGGAAGACCTTTGGGGAATTGGTCAAATTTTCTTCTAAAAAAAGTTTTAAATAATCTTCTGAAATAAGCTTCTAAAATAAGCTTTAAAAGAATATTCTAAATAAAATGCTCCTCAAATAAGCTTCTGAATTAAGCTCCTAAAATAAGCTTGTATAATGAGCTTCGAATATAAGCTTATTAAAAAAAAACATTCAAAATAAGCTTCCAGAATAAGCTTTTCAAATAAGCTTTTAAAATAGCTTCTAAAATTAGCTTTTTAAACAATCTTCTAAAATAAACTTCTCAAATCAGCTTCTAAAATAAGCTTCTTAAATAAGCTTCTAGAATAAGCTTTATAAACAAGCTTCTATAATAAGCTTCTAAAAAAGCTTCAGAAATCAGTTTCTAAAATAAACTTCAAACACAAGATTCTTAAATAGGTTTTAAAAATAAGTTTCTAAAATAACCTTCTAGAATAAGCGTCTGAATAAGTCTCTAGAATAAGCTTCTAGAATAAGCTTCTAAAAAGCTACGAACATAAGTTTGTAAAACATGCTTCTTAAATAAGCTTTTGAAATAAGCTTCTAAAATTTGCTTCTAAAATAAGGTTCAAGAATAATCTTGTAAAATTAGCTTTTGGAATAGGCTTTTAAAAAAGTTTCTTAAAAGCTTCTAAAACTAGCTTCTTTAATAAGCTTGCAGAATATGCTTCAAAAATAAGATTCTAAAATAAGCTTCTAAAACAAGCTTATTAAATAAAGTTTTAAAATTATCTTCTAAAATAGCTTCTATAATAAGCTTCTTAAACAAGCTACAAAAATAAGCTTCCAAAATAAGCTTTTAAAATAATTATCCTAAATAAGCTTAAATAAGATTCTAAAATAAGCTTTCAAAACAAACTTCGCAAATAAGCTAATAAAATAACTTTTTAAATAACTTATAACAATAAGCTTTTAAAAAGCTTCAAAAATAATCTTCTAAAAAAGCTTCTAGAATTAGCTTCTAAAACAAGCTTCTTTTATAAGCTTCTAAAATAAGCTTCTGAAAAAAAAAATTCTAAAATAAGCTTCTAAAATAAGATTCCAAAATAGGCTTTTAAAATAAGTTTGTTAAATATAAGAAGCTGAAATAAACTTCTAAAAAAAAAGCTTTTAAAATAAGCTTCTAAAATCAGCTTCTAAAACAAGCTTCTTAAATAAGTTTATAAAATTAGCTTCTAAAAAAGCTTCTACACGCAAACCAAAAATTTATTACAATGAATGTTAGTTCCACTTCCTATCATCCTCTGTTCAACCTTTTTCTATTTTTTTTTCGACATAATTCATTTCACTCCCTAATACACTTCACATTTTCGGTCTCCAATTTTCTTTCATTGGACCGCAGCTAGGTATATCGCATCATCGGTTCATGCGGACTCCACTAACATCCTCTGATGATGAATCCCACATAATTGTAAGCGAATCTTACATTCCCCGGTTGGGTGTATAATAAGCTTCTAAAATAAGCATCTAAAATGTGCTTCTAAAATAAGCTTTTAAAGTAAGCTTCTAGAATAAGCTCCTAAAATAAGCTTAAGTTAGTTTCTAAAATAAGCTGCCAAAACAAGCTTCTAAAATAAGCTTTATAAATAATCTTTTAAAATAAGCTTCTAAAAAAGCTTCAAAAATAAGCTCAAAAAATAAGCTTTTTGAATAAGCTTCTGAAATAATCTTCTTAAAAAGATTGTAGAATGAGCTTCTTAAACAAGCTTCTTATATAATCTTCTAAAACAAGCTTCTAAAATAAACTTCTAAAATACGATTCCAAAATAGGCTTCTTAAAATAAGTTTCTTAAATAAGTTTTTAAAATAAGCTTTTAAAAAAAGCTTCTAGAATAAGAGTTGGTTGGAAATGCTAACATGAAGCTTTAGTGTGATAATTTATTAGCTAGAGAATGATCTTTTAGAATAGGGTAGGTGGATTGTTCCGTTAGAGTACGGCAGTATGAAAATTGAATAGAAGTTGAAAATGAGCGAAATAAGCTTCTAATATAAGCTTCCAAAGTAAGCTTCGAGAATAAGCTTCTAAAATATGATTCCAAAATAAGCTCTTAAAATAAGTTTCTTTAATACGCTTCTAAAACAAGCTTCTTAAATAAGCCTTTAAAATTTGCTTCTATAAAAAAAGCTTCTATGAAAAGCTTCTAAAATAAGCTTCTAAATTAAGCATCTAAAGTATGCTTCCAAAACAAGCTTCTAAAATAAGCCTTTAAAATATATTTTTTTAAATAAGCTTCTACAATAAGCTTCTAAAACAGCTTCTAAAATAAGTTGCTAAAATAAGCTTTAAGAATAAGTTTCTAAAATAATCTCTAAAAAAAGATTCTAGAATGAGTTTCTGAAACAAGCTTCTTATAAAATCTTCTAAAATAAGCTTCTTAAAATAAGCTTCAAAAATAAGCATCAAAACATCGAAAATAAGCTTTTAAAATATGCTTCTAAAATAATCTTCTAAAGTAAGCTTCCAAAACAAGCTCTTAAAGTATGCTTTCAAAATAATATTTTTAAATAAGCTTCTACAATAAGCTTCTAAAAAAGCTTGAAAAAAGTTGCTGAAATAAGCTTTTATAAAAAAAAAGCTTCTAGAATTAGCTTATGAAACAAGCTTCTTATATAAGCTTCTAAAATAAGCATAAAAAACTTCTAAAATAAGATTCAGGATAAGGATATAAGAATTTTAAAATAAGTTTCTTAAATAAGCCTTTAAAATTTGCTTCTAAAAAAAAGCTTCTATGATAAGCTTCTAAAAAAAGCTTCTAAATTAAGCTTGAGCTTGAGCTTGATTGACCGCCCACGGTTGCTACTCTGTTATTGCCAGATCAGCTGTAATTACACAGAGAACCAATAGACGATGCTTGGGACTAGCAATCATCCTCAATGTGTAAAAACTGGTGATCTTAAATTAGGCAATACCAGCGCCGGCCGCGCCCGAACACAGGTTAAGAAAGGAATGGGAAGGATTGTGTTGACATGACACTCGCTTTGATGGAAGCCGAGAACACCTCTGCACTTCCACGAGGAATCACTGGGATGTTGGATAAGAGGGTTGGGTTTGCAGCAGGGTTCGTTTTGGTAAACGATAAACTGAATTGATGTCCTAACGATCATATAACGCGAAGGAGCTTGGGACTAAACCCACGGTCTTCTGCTCAGTAAGCAAAAATGTTTGCTACTAGGCAGACGAGCACCTTTTTAATCACCGAGTTGCTGTTATTACCATGTAGTCATATTAACAAATAAAACAATTGACGAATCTTGAATGTGGATGGGCCTGAGATTAGACTCATGATGTTCTGCTCGGTAAGCAAAAACGGTTGCTCTAAGGCCACCGAGCCCCTCCTATCACATAACACCGTTGTTCAAATTTTTGTATTCATTCAAACCCGGATACAACGACAACTACGAGTTTCGCGAAATACACGATACACAAGTGATTTTACCATAAATCTTTTTGGTATGTAAGGACCTGGGACCGCGTTTTTCTGCTCAGTAAGCAGGCCACTGTAACCGACGATCTTTCAAATCCGAAAACTAAAAACTACGAAAAAGTACTTAGGCCTTCATTAAGTTCCACTTTCACGCGACGTTCAATGTTTCAATTTGCTCTTTACGCATTGTTCAGGCTATTATGTATGTACAATACCAACAGTTAATGAAAACAGAGAAAAAGAAACTTAGGCAGACTATTAGAAAAGTATGAAAACAATGGATAAAGAAGTAGGAAAACAAAACTACTTTATAATTAAAAATGCAATGCATGAGCGTTAGTTTTGGGATC